TTTCTATTGGTAATTCGATACTTGATTTAATATATTCATAATAATATTGTAACTCATTTCCAGTCAATTCATTATTCCTTAATGAATATAGTTTTAATATATTTAAACGATGATTTGTAGCTGACATTCCATTAGGAGGATTTAAATTAGGTAATAATGAAGTAAATTGTTCAATTGACTCTGTTGATAATATCCCAGTTGTTAAAAATGAAATAACTAAATCATAAACTTCTTTAGAATGTGTTGATAATGGAGTAATTTTTGAGAAGAATGAACGAGGCTCACTTATTAGAAAATCTTCTGTTAATGGAGGTGTAACAAATAATTGTAACATAAATGTTAAATATTCAAGTGGATGAATCATATCAATTTTCATTCTTAAAGCAAATGATAATCCATTTTCAATAAATATTTGAGACAAATCATTAGTTTGTAACATGGATAATCGTTTTGTGAATAAATCATAAAGTGTTAATGAATATTTATCATTATGAAATAATTTACATAGTGTTTGAACTTCTTGATAATTTAAATGTTGAGGACAACATAGTATTATCGACAATAAATTTGATTGGATTTTATCACTTGAAGAATTGGTTATATCAATGAACATTTGAAATGAGTTAAAATCTGGAAATTGTTCATGTAATGAAATAATCATTTTATTTTGACAAAATTCTAATGCATTGGCTAATTCATATGAACATTTAGTCATAACTTCACAATACTGATTTAATCTCTTAGGTAATGAAGTAGTATTACTAAATAGTACATAGTTATAATAATATAATAACACTTCTGAATCAACTTCTGTTTTTCCATTCCAAGGGAAAAATGGACCATCAGTAAAAACGAGAGAAGGATAAACGTAACTAATCATTAATAAAAATCTCATAATTTGGTGGATTGAAATCAATGATAATGAACTTGGAAGAGAAGGTTGTGAACCTTTTGTTGTTGTTGTTTCATCTTCATCAAATTTAAATAATGAGAAATCAGTTGAATTTGTTAATGAATGGCAAGGAGTAATTACTGGAGATGGTAATTGAGTGATCCAAGAATTGATAAGACCTTGAATTGGTTTAGGAATTTCTTTAAAGAGAGGTAATATCTCAAAGTAGTAATCAATAAATGAATCAATATGTTGAGGAGGGAATTCTGTAATAATAAGAGTGTCTAATGAAATTAAATTACTTTTTGCAAATGATGCAATAATTTGAAGTAAAGGAAATAATACAGAAGAAGCTGGAGTACGATCTAATCTCTGAATAATTGTAGGGACGTAATGAATCTTCTCAGGAAAGAGATAACGAGCTTCACTAGAAATCCCAGCGCTTTCATAGATGTCAGGAAGAGAAGAAATAAAATAAGATTTTAATTCATTTGCGTTTTGTCTTGAAAATAATTCAGGACGATATGAGACAATAAGATATAATAAATGAATTGAAGGATAATTTTCTGAACAAAACCAATAAATGAATTGATCAATTGATAAAGAACAAATAAGTTTTGGCAATTTAGCAATAAATTCCTCCCAATTAAGTTCAGTTATTAAAAAGTCATAAATATGTTTTGGTGCTTTTGATAAGAGAGAAAAAATATTAACAACTGACTCTAGTGTTGGTGTTTGCTCAAAGATTTCAAAAGCACTTTTTAATAATGGGAATGTTTGTAAATATAATGCTGGTGATTTACTCAAACTAGATGATGAAGGTTGACTAAAACTGGTAGAAACTTTAGATGTTTGACTTGAACGTAAACTAAACCGTCTTAACATTTCAGTTAAATTAGATTTATCAAGTAATTAATTTTTGAGTTCAAATTCTTTTTGGTCTTTTTTTTCTTATCAAAAAAATTTCTTCTTTTTTAAAATATCTTCTTCTCCTCTTATTTATCTTCTTGTTTTTGAATTAAAAACAAATCATTTATTTGTCATAATACCAATTAATTTACCTTCAAAAAATTAATTTTTTATTTTTATTTATTAGAAGAAAAAAGTACTTTTTATTAAATAAGAATTTTCATTATTTATTGATTTTTCTTTAATTTTTTCTCTCAAAAAAAACACAATTTTTCTTTGATGATGAATAACAAAAAGAAACTTTAATTACATAACTTTCAATCAAAATTCTTCACATCACTATTATCCCAAAAACATTGTGGTTTAGTATTCTTTGATTGAATGTGTTTAATACATTCACAATATTTTCTTCTATGACTTTCAATCATTCTTCCAAAATCTATACATACTTTAAATGAACTTTTACTTTGATTCATTACACAATATTGCATTTTTGGAACAAAGTCTAATGCAACTTCTCTGACTTCTTCTTTCTTCATCATTAAACATCGTTGATATCTCATATCCCATAAATTAACAAAATGACAAAAATCTCGTGCAAAGAAAAATGCTGATGCTGCAAGTGAAGATGGTGAATTACTTGTATAAAATGGATCTAATGTCATTATTTGAAGAAATTGAATACTTGCTTCAATAATTGGATGATTTCTTTCTTCTTGATTATATTGTGGATATCCTGCTGCTTCCCAAAGAATATTTAAAAAGTCGTATGATGTAGGATTATCTATTTTATAATTAATAGACTCTAATAACTTCTTTTCCATTCCAATAATATCATCTTTTCCATATTTATTATTACATAATCTTTGTATATCATTAACTTTAATTCCAGTTGACTCAAATTTTGAACAACTAAATAAAGATGTTACAAATATTAATCCAAGTTCATCAGAATTAACAACTACTCGAGTTGTATATAAATCAACTAATGTTAATGTTTGAAATATTACTTTCTTTGAAAGGTGAAGATATTCTGATGTTTTAAATAACCAATCAACTAATTGTGGTCTCATAAATGGTGTAGCAATTGTTAAATCTGGTAATGGCATTTGATTTTGTCTTTCTCTAAGATATTTACAAAAATTTTGAAATTCTGGTGAAATTCTCCTTTTCTTCTCAGTAATAATAACAGGAGTATTCTTGTTGTTTAAACTAACTGGTACAAATGCACTTTTAGTACTTTGTTCGCTCATACAAACATGACCCTCATCGCACATCAGTGGGTTCTTTAATTTAACTTTTTGTTTAATTCTGTTTATTTGGCTCTACGTGGTCAATTGGTTCTTTTTTAAGCAATTTTTTATTCTTATTTATTTTTATTATAATTTATAATTTTTTTTCTATTTTTTTATTATTCTTTTTCATTTGTTTTTTGTTTTTTTGTTTTCTTTTCATGAAGGGATTTCGCATTTCTTCTTCATTTATTCAAAGAAGAAATAAGAAAATTCTTCCTTTAAATTTCCACTTATTAATAAGATATAATTTTTTTTTATTTATATCTGGAATATAAGGGTTTTTAAGATTTTATTTTATATTTATAAATATTCTCTATCAATAATTATTTTATTATTATTTATCTTTTTTATTAAACTATATAATTTATTATTTTAAAACTATAATTTACTATTTTTGTTCAAATGTATTTAACTCATACTTCTTTTTTAATTCCTCTAATTCTTTAGTAAGTTCTTTGATTTTTTCATCTTTTTGTTGAAGTTCTTTTACAAGTATAATATTTTTAATATCTTCATTTTCATCTTTTCCTTCAATGATTCTAACAATGTCTTTTTTCATTCCCTCGAATTGTTTAGAGAAGTCTTCAAGAATATTTCTTAACTTTTTTATTTCCATTTTTTCTTTTTCACTCTTTCCTTCTCCAGTAATTTCTGTAAATCCTGTTTCTTTAAGAACAATATTTCTGTTATAAACACTTTCAATAGCTATATTTCTGATACAAATAACATCCATTTCATTAAATTGTTTTTTTTCTATGTTATTTCTTTTAATCATTGCCATTTTCATTGACCCATCACTAACGTATAAATACTCTTCTTCAATTTTTAATATGCAACAAATGATATCTACCTCTTCTCCTTCTTTCATTTCACATATATCCAATAACTCTATCAATTTTCTTTCTTCAAATTCTTTTGGTAATTCAATATCTCCACTCATTTTTTTAATGTTACAATTCCAATTACTTTCTATTCCTATTTTCCCTCCAATTCTTTTTCCTTTAAATGAGAAAAATTCGTACCATTTCTTTTCTTCAAATTTAGTATAGTCTTCTTGTCCATCATTCCATATGTTTACAATAATTCTTTTGCTTCTTCCTTCTTTTTTCATTCCATCAAGTATTTTAATACTTCTAATACAATTAAATTCTAATGTTTTCATTCCTTCTTCTTTAAATTGATATAACTCTTCTTCACTAGCTCCTTCTCTTTTTTTTCTTTCAAATTCTTTTTCTAACTCTTTCATTCTTTTATTTCTTTCATTTAGATATTCTTTTTCTCCAACAATTCCCTTTTCATTTTTAAATTTATATTTTATTGGATATACTCGTTCTACACATCCTCGAATACAAGGAATAATTCCATCTCTAACACTATCAATTTGTATTAACATAAATTTACATTTTGTTCTTCCAAGTTTTTCATTTCTTTCCCCTCTTCTAATACAATTAATGTTTGTTTTAAATATTAATTCTTTTCCTTCCCATGGTTCTCGTTCATTCCAATCTTCAGTTTTTTCTAAACAACAAATTCTTAATTTTTGTCCAATATATATTTTTTTTTGTTTTATTAATTCATTAATTTCTCGATCAATTTGTATTTGAATTGTATACCATCCATCACTCATTAAAAGTAGTGGATATTCTCTTGTTGGTTCATTTGAATTAATATTTGCAACTACTCCAATATGACAATACCCACAATTTTCATCTTTATTATAAATTTGTCTATAAAATGATCGTTTTGGTTTTCTTTCAAATACCCATCGTTGTTCAATTTCTTTTTTAATTCCATTTACTGTTACTTCAAATTCTATATTTCTATTATGAAAATAATATCCACTTTGTTTCCATATAACGTGTTGAAGATGTATCTTTAACCATTTTTCATTCTCATATTTTAGAATTATTCCTTTCCATTGTTCAAGATTTAACACTACCCTTTTTCTTTCTTTCTTACGGTCATCAATAATTGGTGTTTGTAATGCATTTTCATATGAAGGTATTGGACATGAAACTTCTTCATTAATATCTTCTTTAAATGTGTCTAAATATTTTGAAAGAAAACTGACTTGATCAAAAGAGCTTTGAGGAACTGGTTTTACTTCTATAGAATTTATTTTAAGAATAGATTTATTTGGTGCCAGTGACTTTCTTTTACTTTCTAATAATGGAGTAATTGCTTTTCTTTTAAGTGGGGTTGGGTATTTAATTGGTTGTTGATGTAAAATTGATTGTCTCTTACTTCCTTTTAAAATACTTTTACTTTCTCTTTTTTCATTTTCATCCATTTCTTTAATAATAATAGTTATTGTGTCTTGTGATAATTGTGTTGCCTGACTTTCAATTGGTTTTGTTGATGAGATATTATCCATTGTTAGTGATTGGTCTTTTTCTTTGTAAATTACAGAAGGCTCTTCTTCCATGTTTTTATTTGACTCTTCGTCCTCATACTGGCTTTGTGTAAAAATCTTCTTTTTTGATTCAAGTAATTCAGACTCGGTTAGTTTAGGAAGTGCCTTTCCTCCTCCAGTAGTAAAGAAGTTCATTTAATCTAAATTTTTTGAGATACTTTTAATGAATAGCTTTCTTTAAATTCCTCAACAAATAATAATAAAATTTAATTTTATTTTTAACTATAATTTAATAAAAAAGAATATGAAGAGAAGAAAAATTTGATTCATTTTGGGATAGGTTCATTCTTGAGAAAATCAGTTAATACTGATGGCTGTGAGATATGCATAAATTCTTGAAGGATTAAGTCCGCATCAAAAATAATATCAACACCAATTTCTGGACCAAGACTTTGGAAGAGAACAAACAAATCATCAAAGTCCATTTGATTATCAATGATATCATCTGCATATTCTTTAATTAAAGCAACAACAAGGAAATAGTAGAATTTTGAAGTTGGAAATGCAAAGATAGAATCCCATATTCTTAATAAATAGCTATCTGAAATATATCTTTTAAATAATAGTACAATCCATTTATAAGCAAAAACATTATTGCTGTCATGTTCTTTTAAATATTTACCTAATGCAGGATTCACTAAAGAAATAATTGGGTCTAATTTATTTAACAATTTATATAAATAATTTGCATTAGAACAATAAAATCCTTGTAACATAGTCATAACTGATTGAAACAACCAAAACAATGATGGTTCTTTTGTAGTAATTCTCATTAGTACAGCAACTATATCATTCATTCCTTGTCCATATCCTATCTTCATGTTAAACATTGAACTACTCATTAATACATTTGTCAATGTTTTTAAATTCTGACATCCATCTTTTTCAAATTTAGTATCTTCCCTATCTGTTCGAACTACATCTTTTTTTATTTGTTCTTCCATTTTAGCAAATTCATCCCAATTTTCTTTCATTTCTGGAATAACATTAGTCCATGTTTGTTTAATCTTTTCATAATCGATAGCCCTTTTCTCATCCCATTCCATTCTTTCTTTTTGTGTATTTTTACCTTCATAATATCCTAAACATAATTTCCATACAAATTCTCTGACATCATCATCACAACCTCTATATAATAATACTTTTCTTATAACATTCATATTAGAACTACTAATATATCCACTATCATCCATTAATGTTTTTAACAAAGTTTTACTAACTGGTTGCATTGTATCGATATGTTCTTGAGCAATTAATGTTTTTCTTTTTTCAACTAATAGTGGATTAATTAAACGTGAATATGCTTTTTGATGATATTTTGCTATGTCACATTTTAACTCAGATTTATAAATTACAATATATCTATTTTTATGTGTTTCATCTTTTTTAATTTCAGACAATGAATTTTGACTGATTGTATTAAAGAAACTTTCGTATTGTTCTTTATGACCCTTTCCTCCAAACTCATATTGAGGTACTTTCAATGGAGCTAATCGTTGTTGCATTTCAAATGTAATTGTGGTTGTTGTTTTTGTTTGGACATAACTAAAAGCAATAATTTCTCTAAATGGAAAAGTAATTTTGTAATCTTGGATATTAGTAACAGTAGTATCTCTTGTGATAAAACTCTTTAGTGATGCGTTTGTACGAACTTCCATTGGTAAATAACTTATAAATAATTGTTTCCTTTTCTATTATTTCGATAAATAAATCTTCTAAAATAACATATGATTAGTGAGTACTAAAACTCTAAAAAGAAACAAACTTTAAATAAACAAAGTGCTCCATATATCTTTTTATTACCTTGAACATTAACAAAAACACTGTCAAATAATCCCATATCTTTAAGTTCATCATTATCCATATCTTCTTCTTTTGTGTCATCATTCAAATCAATCGATTCAGTTGAAGTACTTTCTTGATTTTTATGTTTCTTTTGAAAGATAATAATTTCATCTCCATTATCAACTGGTGTTCCGCTCATTGGTATAAGAACTGATTAATTCACTTCTCTTTTTAATTTTCTTTTTTTTACTAAACTAAAACAAATACAAAATAATATATACAATATTTGATACTAGTTTAAATCACCAATATTTTCACAC